TTCCATCTCAATTTTTTAATCTCCAATCGCAATAACGTAAAGTATTATTACCCGCGAACCAATGAGTCAAATTTAAGAAACAACCCACTGTTAGAAAGCTGAATGGCTACGCTTCAAAATGAATGTAAACTTTAACGTTTTCGTCTATTATTTGTTTAGCAATTTACATTTCAGTCGAGGATTGCGCTTTTTTTGATACACCCTGTATATATATATACAAGTAACGATATACTATACATGTGACGATTATACATGACTTAATGCTTGATCAGTGATCAACTTAATTTAAAACTCCATACCAGCAAAAGTGCTAAGACCATTATGAATAATTTGAACGTTCTTGGCTCCGTTTGGTATGGTAACAATAACATCATTCCAGTATGAACCCGTAGGCACTTCTTTATATTCTCCCTCGATCTCCATACCTGCAACAGAAAGCTACAATTATTAGTGGCACATCGGCTGGTGCATATGGCTTTTACCTTCCCTGATCTCTAATTATAGTTTCGTCTTAAGCCTGGTTTACACTATCAAAGTTTCTGTGATCACAGTAGGAATTTTGCGTAGGTAAATTTTATAAGTTTTGAAGGATTTGTAAGAAATGTTTGAGGGAACTGACTCAGTGTTTAACAGTGAGTCAGTTCTCTCAAACATTTCTTACAAATCCTTTAAAATGCAGAATTTATCGATGCAAATGTGATCACAGAAACTTTGACAGTGTAAACCGGGCTTTAGTCGCATGCGAGAACCATCCTAGTTTGCTTTCACACTGGATCAATTAGGAAAGGTCCTTACTAGATATCCATGGAAAATAACTGATAAAGCTATGCGGCTAGTTTATGCAGTTAAATAAACTTAATCGGGTTTGAAGTAGAAGATAAATAGACCACCCTTACCAGGTTCAAAACTCATAGGCACACAAACGTTGTCCATGCAAGCTCCAGTATCCTTGTTGCAATGTGTGCCATCGTCTACTGATCCTCGGTAGTAGAAGAGACGCTGACCGGACTGTGTGCTTCGACAGTATAAGTTACATTCATCTGTAAAGAAATTGAATCGTTTAATGATTATTATCGTTATATTTTTCTAGTTGAATTATATTCAAAAGTATATCAGAATAATTTATCACCGCGAGAGTCAACTTTGTACAAAGTTAGTTGTTAGATATACCAAAATATACCAAACTAATACAGTTTAAATTATCCTGACCTGCTCCGCCAAAGTTATGTGCCTCAGGCAGATGCCCTCTTGCTTCACATTGCATATTTCGTTCTTGTTTTCGTGGACTGCAAGGCTAGAAGAATACAATAAAATAATACAATAAATAAAATTGGAAAGATCCGTCTGCAGTAACGAATGAGCCTTACTGAAACGTCCAAGGAAAATAATTAAGAATTAATAGTCCTACCAAGTATAAAGAATGTTGGTTGAAAGTAGAAAAACTGACGATCAATCCGGCATATATCAATAATGTTGAGTTTGGTACTTTTAAGGAAAGGTGGAAATTAACGTAGTTCTGTGCCCATACCTGTGGGTTACACCATATTTTATAAAGCTCTCTGCTGGGACCAATACATCCTCCACCAGGAGTTAAACATGTTCTTGTTCTAAAACGGATACCACCACCGCAGGGTTTTGAGCACGGACCAGGCTGAGACCATTCAGAGTAACCTCCACTTGTCACTGAAAAAACAAAAAATATTTCTCAATTAATGAGGACTTGTGTTGACTAAATCGTTAATGTTATATGTGAAGCATTTGGTAGTCATATTAAAGTAAAAAAATTGAAGTGAATATAATTTGTCACCTGATGGTGTTTGTGTGACTGTTTTTGTTGTTGTTGCTTTCGTTGTCGCTGGAGGTGCGGTGGTGGCTTTAGTCGTTGTTTCCTTGGGGCCTGGCTGAGTGGTGGGTGGTAGTGAAGAATCGGAAGGCGTAAGGAAGGACGTAGTTGGAGGGGCGGCGGTGGGTGTTTTGTCCATTTCTGTAGTCATAGGGATAGACTGTGTTGTTTGGGGTGGGGTGGTTGTAGCAGGCGGCTTGGTGGTTGTGGCAGGCGGCTTCGTGGTTGCAGGACTTTCTGGCTCATTTTGAAGTAAGATACATGCTCCATTGATGCATGCCCCGCTCTTGTCCTTACAAAGTGTTCCATCATCCACCTGTCCTCGTGCAATGTACAATGTGTTTTCAAGTGACTGGCGGCAATGTAAATTACATTCGTCTGGAAAAAGAAAGAATTTTTTTCCATGTTTAACTTTGAAACGGAATTCGGGCGTTTGAAAACCAAGTTCTGCCATTTGAAAAGGGAGTTCTGGGCATTTGTAAAGGAGTTCTGGCGTTTGAAAAGGGAGTTCTGTCATTTGAAAAGGGAGTTCTGGCATTTGAAAAGGGAGTTCTGGCATTTAAAAAGGGAGTTCTGGCATTTGAAAAAGGAGTTCTGGCATTTTAAAAGGGAGTTCTGGCATTTGAAAAGGGAGCTCTGGCATTTAAAAAGGGAGTTCTGGCATTTGAAAAAGGAGTTCTGGCATTTGAAAAGGAAGTTCTGTCATTTGAAAAGGGAATTCTGTCATTTGAAAAGGGAGTTCTGGCATTTGAAAAGGGAGTTCTGGCATTTGAAAAAGGAGTCCTAGCATTTGAAAAGGGAGTTCTGGCATTTGAAAAGGGAGTTCTGGCATTCGAAAAGGGAGTCCTGGCATTCGAAAAGGGAGTTCTGGCATTCGAAAAGGGAGTTCTAGCATTTGTAAAGGGAATTCTGGCATTTGTAAAGGGAGTTATTATTTCATTAAAATTATTTGAATTTGTAGGTATTTCTTACTAAAAATATTATCGATATGTACTAATGCGTTTATTACTGGCGAACAAAGTGCCGAGAAATTCAAAGCGATAATATAATTGAGAGTTAATTTATGGGCGTTTGTTTCCGAAGTAATAAAGAGGGTAATTAAGAACGCAAGAGTTGATGTGTTTGGAACAGCATTCAGCTCTAACACAAATAATAACTACGTAAACTAAATCTTGCGTCCTAGCTCGGATGATATGAACTTCACAATCAACAGAAATGTCATTACAGAATTATCACAGCATGAGTCTTTGAAGTACGTACTTGATCCTCGAAAGTTGTTTGCTTGTGGTAGGTATCCTCGTTGTCTACACTGCTCATTACGTTCATTCACTTCTGTTGTACATGTCTTAAAACAAACGATGATAGGAAAATAGAATATATCGTCAAACAATTAAAATCGACTCCATAAGCATATCACAATCTACCCTTAATTAAGGAAGAACAGTTTTCATCATCATCATCATTACTACCATAATACAGGGTAATACAGGATGTGCACAGGCTACCGTGACCATCATTATTATCAAATTCCAGAGCCTACCTGTGAGTTGCACCAGTATGGATATAGCCTCTTGGTTTCCCCAGAACAATCACGACCATTGAATGAAGGTTTAGGATTGGTGCATGATCTAGTCTCAAACCTAACTCCTTTACCACATGGTTTAGTGCAAGGACCAGGCTCTGACCAAGCAGTTAAACCACCATAAATACCTAAAAATTATTGCATTCAAAATCTTTGTCCTAGTTTGGATCAAAACCACGACAGCTTACCGGATAATTTTACCTTACTTATAACATGTTTGGGATATTAACACTACTAACCATAAATTCATAGGCGTACGAGACAGGGAAGTTGCAGGGAGGAAACCCCACTCCAATTGCTATGAAAACCATGCAAGTAAATTCGGGTCAATGCTGGGTACAATTAACAAAATTGGGGCAAATATTCAAAACAAAATTTCAAGTGGCCCAAGAAAGGATTAGGCCCGTACGCTCATGTGAAACTAACCATTGCAATTATCTTGAAAGGTGTCCAATAGATAAGATGCTTTAGGCACATTATTATCATACTGTCCAATAAAGTTCCCTGGAGGCGAATAACGAGCCACAACGTAGACTTTGGTTCGGTCGAAATTACGAGCGTATCCAATGCCAAGCCTGACAGAGGTCGTCCACACTATCTAGATTTTCATTTGGAAAACAGTTAATATATTCACAATAATGTTACAGTAACAATGACTCGTCCCTTATCATTTCAACTCAAGGTATTTGTTTAATATGTAATCGTGCCCTGTATATGATATCCATAATTCCTCACTGAAAAATTGTTCCAAAATATAATACAAACACTATAATTGCAACAAAGTTATAAAGGTGGAGTACTTTTTGGGAAGATTAAGGTTAGATTCTGTCACTAGAAAACCTATAGTAAGTTGAAGGAGATTCTATATATATGATAATGGAGTATGCGTCATCAAGAAAAATTGCTTACGAATAAACACCAGGGTTGTCATTCCACCTTTGCATGATTGTATAAAGAAAGCAAAAGTTAGGATCAACAATTTTTGTTACAACCAGCACCAACCTGTGTGAAATGACCGACCATCTTTCCTTCTCGACCAGGTCTCGTCGTTGCCCTTCCTTGCGGCCATGTGCAGTAGTTGTAATCATACACTTCTTCATACCTGGTGAAGTTAAAAAGAAACAGGAATTAGGAAAAACTTTTAATTGCCTGACTCTCAATGTTCCAGCCACCGCAGCAAGTTCGAGTATAAAACCTTGAGTAAGTTCCATTCAATCTGGATGCGTGTCAGTTAATATAGGGGTGATGACATCAAAACCAGAGATGCATGTTCGCTGAAGAAAGGTGCCACCTATACAATTTTCCGGTAAGTACCTGCCTAATATGAACACATTTTTTGTGATTGGTTCTCTAAAACAAAATCGATTAGTGTTAATGATTCTTTCATTAGGAATATGACTTCTATAGTTTATTTTCCTTTTCTTTTTGTAATAAACTGTCAAGTCTTTGAAAATGGTTTCCGGCTGAACTGTTAATAGCCTCCACAGAAAAATGCGCCAGCCTAGTTATTTTTAAACGCTTCCTGCACACGACATACTCCAACTTGGTCAAGGATACTTTTAATGTGGATATGCCACTGATGCACTTGGTCACTCACACGCGACTGCTCCTGCCATCGTTCCTAAATTGCATTATGTATATATATTTACTGTAAATAGATCACCTTGTAATCTATAATTTTTATGTCCAATAAAGCTGATAAAAAAATAAATAAATAAAAGTTTTGGCATATAAGTAATCCAGATGAACAATACAGACAAATGATTTAATCCCTTCAACATAGTTTATTGTCTTTTATTGTCATGATCAACCAATCACAAAGCCTGTTCATGCAGGTATATGTGCCGATAGACTTGTTTCCTATTCCTATGGTTCCCGAACCTTCTTTATTTTGCCCTCTCTTCATTTCCTTGCCAACCATTTTTACCATGTTTCTCTTACCATCTCAATGTGGCGTTGGTCTCGACAGACATGTGGCCCCCAGCATACGCTAAATTCTCCCCAGCTCCGCCAGGATTACAGGATTCACCTCGGCCACAATGTTGAAATAAATTTTTCTCTGCCAAATATTCCGCGTAATCTTGAGCTTCTTGGGTCATCCTAAAGAAGATAGAAGCATGAAAAAGTTAAAAAATAATATTTAGGTAAATTTTAAAGAATCGTCAAGAATTTAAACAAATGCACACTTGGAAAGTGCGCAGTTTGGACTTTTTGTTTTACAGTTTAACCAAAACCGACCACACACGACTTTATTACTTGACTGCATGGAATGAATGATCCTACTTCGTATCGCTTCCATCACCAGGCTATTTACTATCCAATACGGCCATATCAATCGTTCACTATATACGGTATATGCCAGTGTAGCAGGGCATTTTTTAATGAAGGCTTTTTCCTCACACAGTTATGCGTACATAGACCATGCTATGCTGACCTTTATATAAGATGGAATGTCAAAAATGTGAGAGGATATGAGAAAGCATGAAAACGTAGCTTTTTCAACAAGGACTGATTTTTTATTAATGATCAAAAGGGCCCAGCTCATCTGAAAATATTGGTTCACTACTGGGGCAAGCAAAGAGCCTACTGGGGTAAATGCCCCAGCAGTTATATTGTTAAAAAATGTCCTGCAGTGTAGGTATAGTGGCAATAATAAGAAAGCTTCAGATTGACAGGGATAGCCTTCGTTCAAAACGTCCGGCGACGTTTTTCTTGTATTCTTCTCGTTGCATTCCCACAATCCGACGCTTTCTGATAGACGGTTGCACTTGTTAATGAAGGAAATAAAGTAAAATTCAGTTTAGTTCCTTACGTGTCATCCTTGGTCATCAGAGAAACACCATGAAGCTGTCTGTAATGATTGTGTAGGTCCAGTTGGTCTTGGCGGAATGCCTCCAGGTTGAATCCGGGATTAAGGTTTGCAGCTCTCTTTACCAACCTACGAACATATGAAATAAACGAATGAAAAACCATGAAGAGTGGAGGTAAATTTGGAAACCCATGCAACAAAAAAATGAAATATAAAATAAAGGTTAATATAATTATGTGATACAAGGTTTCGAGTAAACTTTCGACTAATTTTCAAAATGCCAGAAAATCCAAAGTCGGTCAACAGACGACTTTGTTATATAGTCTATATATAAATGACCAAAAAGTGCCACCCCCCTCGTCTCCCCCAAGGCATGACGCCCTTGTTTATACTACTTGCAATAAGTTGCAGTTAACCCGCACGTTTGAATGGGTTCGATTAACAGGGCCGTAGCAACCCGCACGTTTGAATGGGTTCGATTAACAGGGCCGTAGCAACCGGGGGGGGGGCTGCAGCCCCCCCCCAATAATTTGCTAATAATCATTCTTTTTTCAAAATCATGCAAACTTTATCATTTAATCTGTGACAAACTGCAAAGAATGAAGATATTACTCATACTCCAGATCGTTCCTCGCGTAGAAATCTTAGCTGAATTTCTGTCGCGCATTTTCAAGAAAATCCCACAAAATCTGCACATTTTTGATGAACTAATGATTTATTTTGTCTTTTGCGTGTTGGGTCTGGCGAAAGAAAACTCTGAAAATGCCATTTCAGACCATCTAGAGACTCCAGATTTTCGAAATTTTCTCAAATGTTCTGCCTTCATTTCCGCGCAACTGCCATTTACGACGAAAATTCCCGCCGCGCATTTATAATACTACAGTCTGGCCCATACTTTCCTGTAAATTTCGACATACTAAAACGCTGTTTTCTGACTATCAGAATTCCGTTAAATCTTCCCCCAAAGTCCAGGAAATGGCATTTTAGAGACTCTAAATTTAAAAATTTCCTCGGGCCTTCGGCCCTCGCTTTCAGCCCCCCCAATCGAAAAGAGCTTCCTACCGCCCTGCGATACTATACGATTTTAATATTTCTTACAACAAAGATAATCAGTTTCTCTTTTTCAGTTGGAAAATGTGATTTAAAAAATGTCCACTTACCGCTTTGGCCGAGGTAATCCATGTACAAGAAGAGAATGAATAAGAACAGCAATCAGCACACTTTTCATGATTTAAAAAATACAAAACCAAAAACAAACGGAGTAAAACTTAGGTTTTAACTGCCTGAACTGACGGCACTCCGAACTTGAAATTTGAGACCTCTGGCTCTGAATGCAGCTGCAGACAACAATGAAATGAACTGTAATATACTTTGGATGAAAATGTCACCTTTTTGTGAACGTCAAGTGGTCACACCTAGAGATCCAGCCTAGTCCCAGTCGTTCTGAAGCAAACGCGGATACGCGGATGTGGTATGAGACTGGGACCTAAGTGTGACGTCACAGCTCAAGGTGCTTCAGAACGCCTAGCAGATTTCAGTATTTTCAATATGGCGGATATATATAAGTGCATTCTTGAGGACTTGGAAAAAGTTTCGACAAAAAGTTGGGCAG